ACATCAAAGGCTTAGTTACGAGAATTGTATTCGGTTTCTGAATTTTTTCTTCACGTCTCAAAACCCATCGGAATATTGAAAGACGTGATGGCCCTTCTGATTTTCTCATGGACCTCAGGTCCCTTACGCAATCTCTTTATTATTTACTTTTGAAAATTCCTAGATGAGCTCTAGAAAAGAAAAACCAGAAAACTCGGATGATGCTCCGATCAATTTAACTGTGGAGAAAGACGGAAATCGGAGAAATCACCGGCGAAATCTGTGTTTAAACCGAGTAGCTGGGCTTGTATGTACGTTCCAAGTGAGTTTTTTTTGCACGTGCAATTTTTTTTCTCGGCTTCTACGCTCCATCTCACACGGACTTTTACAAATTTCATGTTGCGTCTTTGAATTCTGACAGTAAGCCGCGCTTAAGCCGAAGGAACGCGCACCATGTTTTCAAAGCACTTTTCAGTAATAACTTTCGATCAAATTCTGTTAATATTATATTCAACATTATGCGGAGAAAATTATCCATTTAATTTGATTCAACAAAATAAGAAAAATGCCTACGTATGGCTGAGTCGCCACGCAGCTGGCATCCGACCCTACAGTAAGACAGAGCCCGCAAATGAAACCTTTTGAAAACACGTACAAAAAAATTCACCGTAAAGACCCTAAACTTTCCAGTTGATGATGAGGATGGTTGTCACCCTTTGGGACGTTTCGATGGCATCCATTCACTGAATCTTATCATGGAGCCATCGAAATTCGTGATCAATCCGGAGAAAGGAACAAAGTTCACCATCAAAACAAACTCCAAATACAAGCAGGATGTGATTGTGATGTGTGACTCGTATCTATTTGAGATCAAGAACCCACGTGCACGGAATGGTATGGAGTCGCAGATTTTTCATCGATTGGTCAAGGGCGAGACGATTACGTTCGAGATTGGACTCAGACTGCCGAGTGTAAGTTTTAGGTAAATACTCAACTGCTATGGGTGTGATCTACTGCTATGTTGTAACTGCTAGTGTCTCAGCTGCTATTTTTGGTTCTTCTGCTATGGATCAACTGCTATTTTGTCATTGCAGTTGAGACATCATAAGTGGCGAAATTAGCAGGAGTAACAGCAGAAGAGCCGAAAATAGCAGTTGAGACACTAGCAGGTTGAGATGTAGCAGTAGATTTCATAGCAGGGTTGTGCGAAAAATGACCTCCGAAAAAGTTTTCGAGAAATTTTTTTTCAAAAAATTCTTCCGAAAAAGAAGGTTTTTCAGAATTTTTTTTCCGAAAAAAACCGAAAAAGGCTCCATATTTTCAGCATTTTGAGCACGAGTCCACAAAGTGTCCATCAAGATATAATTTTTTTCAAAAGCCCGCAAAAGTTAAGAGGCTTCCCACTTGTTTTTATGTTCACTGCCAACTTTCAAGTCGATTTCACACTTTTTTTTTTCAATTTTCGCTTTTCTACACTAAAATCAAGCTGAAAGACAGTAAAAAAAGTTTTCGAAAGAATTTGGAAAAGTGTACGGCGGAGCGCACTTTCTGAAATTTCAGAAATTTTTTTTTTCGAAGGGGACACTTTGCGACCCCGTGTATCAGTTAAGAAGCCGACATTTCTTGCCACATTGGAAATGTTCAATTGAGCATACTTGCTTTTTTCCTGGAAGCTAGCTGCATGATTACGTGGCAAGAAGTCACGCCCCCCCCCCCTCCCCCCACAGAAAAAGAGGAAAGGTCGCCACGTTGTCTATGTCCCCTCGCTACCAATAGCTTGTGGTCGCCGCGGCTTAGTGGATAACAATGTTGTTTTTTAAATTTTCATCGCGAGTTCAATCCCCACCGGGGTCGAATACTTTTTTTCTTTTTTTTCGAGTTACCCTCGTTATTTCCAGGACCGGCCAACAGCATATATATCCGCATCGCCACCAACATGTGCTTCTGGAACCCTGGAAATCTACCACTACAGAACGACGTGTCAGGAAAACGACGATAGTGATGAGAAGTGGAGAATCAAAGAGAAGAATCAATTCATCAATGGACAAATCTACTCATGTCAGCGTTACGGTCGTTGGGTGGAGTATCTCCATCCAGAATATGAGACAGAAGACGTCAAGAAACGGAAGGCGGAGTTTTTGATCGAGAATTTCAAGTATTACGAGTATAACTCGTGGCTTGAAATTTCAGAAAAAACCGAGAAAGTGATGATGACAACGGTGGCACCGAATGATCCAGAAGAGAAGACTGATCGAGAAGCTGAAGAGAATCTTAAGAAGGGCCTCAAGTATTTTGTTGACTTGCATCGAGAAGAGGAAAGGAAAAAGAAGGAATTAGAAGAGAAAAAAGTGGAGAAGAAGGATGTGGAGACAGTGCAGACGGTGCAGCCGGCGGAGAAGCAGAAAAAGAAGAAGAAAAAGTGTGTGATTATGTGAATGTATGACGATAAAGATTTTCCTTGTGTCTGTGTTACTAGTTTTTCTCAAATTTTCCTCTTCAAAGGTGGCCGGACAGGAAAAAATAATGTCTGCTGAAATTGAAGAACAAAGTTCACTTAACTCAAATCTCAACTCTAAATGAAATCATCTAGCCTCTGCTCAAAGATTCGAAACAGCCGCATTTATATAGGCAAAATCATGCTTGTTTTAGTTTTGCTCGTGTGGCGCAGTTGGTAGTCCGCGCGGCACCAAACTGGTGTGGCGTGTAAGTTCGACCCCGCAGATGGCAACAATTTTTGTCTTATTTCAAAATATGGCGAAATGGCAAATTTCTGCATGTACCACATCTTACGACAAATTGCGTATTTGCACTAATTTCTGCATCACGAGGCTTTCCTGTTCGGCCACCTCTGAGTTTCGCGTCAATCCCATTTTTGGTCGTTGGGCAGTGATAGGCCTTAGCCTTCTCCTGAAGTGACACACTTTCAAAACTCAAATTCCCGCCAATTTTGTCGAAATTTGAATTCCCGCTAAAGTAATTAGATGTTTTGACGTTTCCGGAAGTTTCTAGAAGTTTCTGGAAAGAAACATAATGTTCTGGAAGGTATATCATCAAGAACTTGCCAGTGGAATTTTCGGAGTATCGTAACTACCGTAATCCTACAATAATCTTTACCGTTTTTTGTTTGTATGCTATTGTGGTCAAATGTGTGCTTCATGCAAAAAATGGAACAATCATGACCACTGCGAACCCGTTTTCTAGCTATTACAGCGTTACTGAAGCTACCGTATCCTTACAGTAATCCGAGCTCCAAACGTCATAGAATTGAAGCGTTCCGTTACCTATGACCATGTGCCGAATATGGTACCAAACGGTTCTGGGACTCAAAAGTTATTCAGTGATAAGCGCTGGACAGACAGACACACAGACACACAGAGGTATCACTTTTGTATATAGAAGAGATTTTTCCCGGGAAAAAAAGAAATCCGGCTCCGCGACATTTCGCAAACAGACGTTTCGCAACTGGTGTAGGACAGCAAGAAAAGAATGTAGACCCAATTTAACGCTTTTTATAGGTTTTGAAACGGCGTAGTTACGAAACGTCTGGTTTTGAAGTGTCGCGGAGCCCGAAAACCAGTGAAAATTGATGAAAATCGATAAATTGGATGAACGTTTCCCGTGAAATCTTATGATAGAAATTCGCTTTCTACGGAAGCAGTAATTTTTCCCCGTTTTCGTGGGGTAATATTGCGCGGTCGAGTTGACCGAGTTGCTATGATAAGATTTATTTGAAAATATTTTTTTCCACAATATCTGCCGATTCGAAACGTTTATTTCGGTTTCTTTTTCAAAAAATTCATCAAGCTCCATTTCTTTTTCTTCTTCTTTTTCTCGACGACTTCAGCCTTATGCTCCTGTTCAGGCTTATGCTCCTCCACCACTGCCGCTACCACTGGCCGTACAGACTTCTCATTATCTGGCACATGATCATGATAGAAACCACCTAAATAATCATCTTTGCGGTAACCAATATCTTCATCCGTGAACATTTTTTGATCTCCCTTCCACTCGTTCAATATAGTAACCTCTCGAGAAAGAATACGTGCTTGAATAAGTTCCATGAATCGATATTTTCGTTTTTTGGATTCCTCGTTTTCAAATTTCAAATGCATTGAATGGAAGTAATATCCTTGATAATGATCAGAATTACAGGCGGTTCTGATCAACAAATTCGATCCTTCGATTCCCCATTCCTTATCCGAATCCGTCACTTTTGGCTTCGTGTAGGAACCCGAGATTCGCGATTTGTAGTGAGTGATTTCGAAGACTCCGGAAGCCCAGTTGTAAGGCGAGTTTTGGAAGTTGTCCAACGATTCATCCTGAAAAAAACAGAAGCGTTCACAAGGCTTGCTCAGAATAGAAAAACGAAAATTCTGGTCATTTTTTGAGAATAAACTCGGTTTTTGTAGTTTCAAAAACTTTGAAAACCCCGTCAAAATGTACGCAGCTTCAAGAAATACTTAAAAAAAAAGGGAAAACGATTTGACCCAGGTGGGGTTCGAACCCGCGATCGAAATTTCGAAAACAGCAGCGCTATCCACTAAGCCACACGCGCAACAGCAGTAAAAGGGGTAGGAGGCATACAGGTAACGGCGGCTTCTCTCTCTCTCTCTCTCTCTCTCTCTTTCTCTCTCTTATGCGCCGAGCGTGCCGAACTTCACGGAGCGAGGGAGAGAGTGCCAGACGGTCAGACACTCTAGCTTCTCTGCTCTCTCTCTCTCTCACTCTCACCTTGGCATCCTTCATCACAATGTGAAACGTCTTCGTCTCATCCTTCCCGATCACATGAAACCACTGTGAAGTGATTCCCAACTTCCGTCTCGCCTCCTTTATCTCGAACATGAACGAATGACACGTCACAATCACATCTTGAGCGTTTTTCGACGGATTTTTGATACTAAACATCGTCCCTTTCTCCGGATCTATCACGAAACACTCTGGCTCCACGACCAAATACAACGGATTGTACTTGCAAATGTCTTCTTTCACTTTTGGTCCGACATACTTATAACCTTCATAATCCTCCTCCTCAGACATAGGTTCAAATTGGAATTGTTCAAGCATCTTATCCCTATTGTTGAAGTATTCATATTTTCCGGGTGGGACTGAAAGGGGAAATTCGAAAGATTATTGAAAAAAAAAGTTACCTTCGACTTTAGGAAGAATATAGTTCTTTTTGTCCTTAATGTGGTCCTCGGAGGAGAGGGACATTGTGAAATAAATTGAGAGAAGATGATTGTTATCAGAGGGGGAGAGTTTTCCAGGGCATGTCACGCGAAAGGAAGAGAGAGAGAGAGAGAGAAATTCTTCGATTTCGGATGAATTTCCGGCCGGATTTATTCTTGACAAAAACAGAATAGTAAACATAACATTTTCAATTTCAAAAATATTTTTCAATTGAATACTCCCATAAATGTGATTTTTCGAACAAAAAATTTGTTTTGACGTTTTATTTTACCATCAAGTACATTCAAAATAACCAGAAACGGATGTATATTCAAGAAAAAATACGAGAATCGATGAAAACTAAGTATTTTGTCATCCCATACCGTGCAGCGAATATGGAAAATTCGAATTGCCGCGCGATTTCAGTGGAGCAGACTTGCTACAGTCTACGTTTCTTGCGACAAAAAAACCACCGTTTTCCACAATTTTTCCCTTTTTTTTCTGGAAAATTTGAAATTTTTTTCGCTTTTTCGATAAACCTCGCGCGGCGAGCGGGATATCGGAGTGTCGTTGTGAATAAAGTTTTTCATTCAAATATTTCAAAATAAATTATTGAGAACATACAAAATTCCTGAGGGAAAGGGATAGATTTGAAAAAAAAAACACAGGAATGATATCGACAAGACCACGTGGATTTCGATGACAGTTTTCACATTGTGGGGGCCTGTGAGGGATGCAAGTGCGCTCTATTGAGAATGGAGGCGGGGCTTAATCAGAGGGTCAAAAATAAGGAGAAAATCCACTTGAAATAACGAAAATATCACATTTTTATCGGAAAATGCTCAGTTTTTCAGGCCCCGCCTTCGTTCTCAATAGAGCGCATTCACATCCCTCACAGGACCACACAATGTGTGTAATCACTACAAACCAAGGCTGTGCGAAAAAAACTTTCGAAAAAAATCGAAAAAAAATTTTTTTTCGAAAATTTTGGGCCGAAAAAAAAATCGATAATTGATTTTTCGGAATTTTTCGAAATTTTTCGAATTTTTTCAGTTTTTTCATGAAAAATGGATAAGACGACGGCAAAAACATGAATTAAAAGTCTCTTCTTATCCATTTTTCCTGAAAAACCCCGAAAACATTCGAAAAAAAATCGAAAAAAATCGAAAAAATTCGGAAAAAAATCAAAAAATTCGGAAAAAAGTCGAAAAATCCCGAAAAATTCGAAAGAAAAAGTCGAAAAATCCCGAAAAATTCGAAAAAAAATCAAAAATCTCGAAAAATTCCAAAAAATCATTTTTCGAATTTTTTTCAGACCAAAATTTTCGAAATGAAATTTTTTTTTTGATTTTTTTCGGAATTTTTTTTCGCACAGCCCTGATCACTACAAACTACAACTTTGAAGAGTTCATAAACAATGAATAATAGTTGGGTGGTGGAAGTTCGTCGATTCGAGACATGAAATCTGTCCGTACTGCTCCAAAGACAGTAGAATATGCTGGGGGCTCTCCGGGAGTAATCATTTCTTCGGAATCCGAGTCATCTGGAGAGGAGAGCTCCATTGGAGGAGCTGTTGGGATAGTTGGTGGGAGGAGTGGTGGTGGAGGACGTCGACGACCTCGGGGGGAGATGAACCGTTTGACGCCGGGGCCTGGAAAAAAATCTTTAAACAAAATGAGAAAAATGCCTACGTATCGCTGAGTCGCCACGCAGTTGGCATGCGACCCTACAGTAAGACAGAGCCCGCGAATGAAATATTTTGAAAACACGTACAAATAAGTTCACTGTGAGTCAAATCTAAGCAGACTAGGTCAAGACTAGACAGCTGTAGCCAAAAGCACAGCTCTCGCCAATATTTTCAATCCCTGCCTTTCTATTCTGCGATTTCCCAAAGCTCTTCTCCCCGCCAAAACCCACCAATCAAGTCGAAAATCATCTCCTCATCGAGCTCTCCAAAAAACCATGGTTCATTGGGTATCCTCAAATAAATACAAATCCCGGCTAGACAAGTACACCTTCGATTGTGATAAAATGTCGCTTGAACCCTCCCAGACACCATTTTATAGGTATAATGGAACTCCGAAAGAATCGTCGGGCACGGACAATACGGTGCCGGTGGTCTGCATTGAAACTCGTGGAATCGGGCTCCGGTCACGGAGCACCATGTTGGAATGCACACGGCTGCAGTGTTCTCTGGCACGTGGATGTTCGGATTCTCCAGAAGTTTCCGAAGAAGTCGTTGGACCCTTAGTCTATCGATGTCATAGAGCTGTGCTTTTTTCCTGGAACTTGAGAGCCGATAGTTCTGAGCACCGCAGAAGAAAGTGAAGGTTTGGGTGCGAATGGAGTGAAGGCCTGGGATCTTCTCGAATTGGTAGAGGATATTCGGCACTTTCCGTTCTCGACGAAGTTTTAGCTGTTGGTAGGCTTGGTGGAGGAGCTGGAAATGTTTAATTTGGTATGGAGTACTCCTTCAACTTAATTTTCTGGGCGGGGCTTTACGGATTTTACGGGTTTTAAGCATTCATTTTTCTTAGAATCCGCAATTTTTCACATATTGTAGTTTTGCAAAATTGGAGGATTTTCACAATTGGCAAAACCTTTTTTTGTCCTGTTTTTGAAAATAATTTTATGACTGGATTAGTTTTTTTTTTCTTACATCTGGGATATCTACGCAAAATGTGAGGTTTTCGGTTTCCATACTTTTTTGTTAGATCCAGTTTCATCACAGTCGGCTTGACCCGAAACTGAATTTTTTCGATCAAAATGATGATTTTAACGATATTGCTTTTTCAGGGATTTTACCGATTTTTCGGTGTTTACCAAAATTGTCGCGGGTCAGGCCCATTTCGGAATTTTGATGGCCCGACGGGCCCCTTCAAGAATTTTCAAAAAATTTTCTTTTTTTCAGAATTGAATTGTCGCTATCAATTGCTTGAATTTTCGCTCAGCAGACATTTTTGATTTTAATGTCAAACGAAGAATGAAACCTTCAAACAAAGAATGAACAAAAATACCTAAATTTTGATTGGAAAAACACTTTACGCTCAACCCCTGTGCTTCCCAGCAACGGATTATACTTGTGTTCCTATCATTTTCCCCGTGCGGCTCATTGAAGAAATATTATACGAATAATACTATTTTTGGTCAGTCGCTCACAAAGCGATATCAGCTATTTCTAGTCAAAAAGGGACTAATGAGTCACTGGGGAGTTCCAAGAGAATTGTAGTTGTTTATAAGAGACTCATATCAATAATAGCCGTCTGATTGCATATTCTATTCAAAAATATCCTATTACGTATTTGAGACAGAGTGTGACGGAATTTGGACAGAAAAATTTTGAAAAAGAAGGTGAATCCGGAAGTTATTTTTTGGCTCTTCTGCTATGGATCGACTGCTATTTTCGCTCCTTTTAATGTCTCAACTGTTATGGCTATAGCAGTTGATCTATAGCAGAAGAGCCATATATAACAGTTGAGACACTAGCAGTTACAACATAGCAGTTGATCATCTCCTTAGCAGTTGAGTATTCGCCTTATAAGTAACTTCTAGGCCACTACGAACTCGAAAGCAAAAGATCAATTTTTGTTCATCTACTTCTATTTCGAAATTTCTTATTTCCTTTCATTTATGCCCCCTAACCTCCCATATCTATCCAGTTAATTACCTTTGTTAATATACATCCGCTAAGAAAAATTCATAAAAATAGACAAAAAAAAGGAAGACTCACCAAATAAACAATAAACATGAGCACACCTACGACTATATGAAAACATGTGATCTCCACTGATGCCACTATCATTCCTGCAGAAAAATTGGAAATTTGGAGAGGGATATGTGGATATGGAGAAAAAAAAAGAAATTTAGGGAAAAATGAGATTTGGAGTCTAGGAGGGATGAAGAGAGGAAATTGAAATTTTAATTAAGAAGTAAAGTAAAAAATTGAAAAATGGGTCTTGGCGGGAGATGACTTTTAGGAGGAAAACTATATCCATTTGATGAATGACTTTGGCCCGGCTAGTCTAAACCGGCTCAAGAACTCAGAAAATGGACCTTTTTTTGGAAGAAAAGGGGTCTAGACATACTTGTGAAATCTCGGCCCGGGCCAAAAATTTCCAAGGCCAGGATTCAAAAAGTTTTGAATTTTTTTTTTTGAAAAAATTTCGAAATTTCTAGAAAAAGAAGCACAAATTTTGGAAATTTTTTTCCGATTTTTTGAAATTCGCGGTAATTTTCCGGGCCGAGCCAAGCCGGGCCTTGGAAATTGGTGTCAAGGCCCGGCCCGGCCTGGCCCGGCTCGTCACAAGTGTGAGTCTAGATGAAGTTTCAAAGGGTACGAAAAATAAAAACTCGGGTTTAGTGCCAAAAAACATTTTCATGGTGGATTTT